CTGGGCAACAGAGGAATTTTACTCAGCAGTGTTCTCGCTTTCGGTTGTTGTGCACTGTGTCTGCGAAACGCTCACACAAGACCGCAACCAGGTTTTGCGACTCAAGCCGCTTAAGACGAACTCAAATGCTCCACGTCTCATTGATGCAATGTAACGGTATTTTTTTCAGCTTAGTTCTCGGTCTGAGCCTCCCAAGTTCACGTCAAAACAATCACCAAAGGTGCACAAGGTATATCAACGCCCAAAACGAAGTCAGGAACAGTTGGACAGCGCTTCATATATATGACGTAGGCGGCTATGACGTTCTGCGAATTCTGACGCGTTCTGGATGCGGCGCTGGCAACCGGCATTCGACCAATACTGGGTCAAGATTCACTGTTGGGTCCAGACTTTTGACCAATCAGATCTCGGCTTGATGCCGGACCGGCAAGCCTCCCGAGCCCTTGGCCAATCTTGCGTGAGATGGACTTCTCGGGCGTAGCAGCACCTGAGTGCGAGCGGTAAAGCGGGATACGTGCGGAATTCCGTCTAACACAATGACTCGTGGTGTCTAGGGTATGGGAGTTGCACTCAGTCCAGTCATGCAAAAATTATCGTGGTATCAGCGCGGTTTCCGTCACATCTAAGGTGCTCTCTGGCATTAATTTTTAACCGGTTGGTCGATTATGTCCCGGTCGGCTAACTAAGTCCTGAGAAAGCCCATCTTGAAGGCTGGTGTGAGGTTGGAGTTCACCGTACAGATGATGGGGAGCGAATGTTCCAATGTGCATAATATCATTTAGTTCCAGTCAGTACAAGCGCTCACATTATGTGACTTCGAGGCCACCAGCTGCAAATCAACCGTGGACTTATTTGGACCGTGACAATCAGTTACCGGTGAAGAGCTTCGACACAAGATTGTCGTCCATTTTGGACTACACTACTTGACTCTGTCCGCGGCATTGTGTGAGCACATTTATCTGTTCGTCGTCAACTTGGAACGCATCGGCTGATGTAAGGACATTCAGTTTACCACATGCAAGCGTCTTTTTGAATCAACAGTGTCCTGTCGAGTTGGCGGAGAAAGTCTCAGAAATCGACGGGCACAGTGGCCATTTGAATAACGATTGGTGAAAGATTTTGAGGTTTGCTAACTTTATGAATACTGCACCTCGTCACGATCAGCAGCTCTCATGAGAGCTAGGAAAATTATACCAGCAAAAAACGACAATGATGGCGCTCACTGATTCCTCAAAGAACAAATCTTTCAGAGCCTAGGATTGACAAAAGGCGCTGATAGACAGCAGATGTCCGGGAAATGGGGAAAGCTGTTTCAGCAGAGAACAGTCGTGTGCTGTTCCAGCCAATCCGATCAACTGATCCGACGAGAGCTCGCATTAGTGAAACGATCTCATTAAAGGATACGTTCTCAGTTCAGTCAGAAACATCGTCTGGAACGGTGGGCTGAACACTGAAAGAAACTTCAACTAAGCTCCACCGGTTCACTTGCTCAAGGACCATATGAACACGAGTGAAAAGCGGACATCCGAATATCATCGAACCGAAAGTCCAGCGTATACTACCATTGCTTCACGACAACAAAGAACATGGTTCGGCATGCTTCAACATCGTTCATAAAGGGCACAAGAAAGTCATGCAAAAATTATCGTGGTATCAGCGCGGTTTCCGTCACATCTAAGGTGCTCTCTGGCATTAATTTTTAACCGGTTGGTCGATTATGTCCCGGTCGGCTAACTAATCCTGAGAAAAGCCCATCTTGAAGGGTGGTATGAGGTTGGAGTTCACCGTACAGATGATGGGGAGCGAATGTTCCAATGTGCATAATATCATTTAGTTCCAGTCAGTACAAGCGCTCACATTATGTGACTTCGAGGCCACCAGCTGCAAATCAACCGTGAACTTATTTGGACCGTGACAATCAGTTACCGGTGAAGAGCTTCGACACAAGGTTGTCATCCATTTTGGAGTAAACCACTTGACTTTGACCACGGCAATGTGTGCACGCGTATCTGTTCGCTTCCCTGGATAAAGTGTCTCCATAACTCAAGAATGCCGAATTCAGTTTACTGAGATACCCAGACTCGACGTGCACAATGTTAATTTGAATGAGGATTGGAGGAGGGTGAGGGAAGCTATACTCAGAGCCTTTTGTACTATCTTCCGGAGGCCACTCACCCACATCAATGAACATTGGATCTCGTCACGATCAGTAGCTCTGACTGGGGCCAGGAAAACCATACCAGCACGCAGATCCCCAAAATGCCGAATAATGAAGGGCCTTGAGACTGACAGGGAGCACGGGTGGATCGTAAGAGACCGAGAAACAGAGAAATCTTTCGCAACATGGAACAACCGCACCCTGTTCAAGCTGCTCCGATCAATCGTTCCGAGGAGGACGGGACTTTAATTCACTCACAGAAAGGTTGTTGAAGTATGCAATGAAAACTTCAAATAGTTTGCTGCTTTCCATCATCTCAGCTTCCTGAATGATCATATGAACTCAAGTGGGACGCCGACATCAGTCCGCCAGCAACAACGGAAGTCCAACGTGCAATTTCATCGCAACGGGGAACTTGCATTCTAACCATTGCAAAAGTGATGAGTCCATTTCGGCTAAACTGGCGATTTTGTTCCAAAATAGCTGGGTTGAGAGAAGAATACCAACAGAATGGAGCGCCGCGACGGCGACTCCCATATTCAAAAAGGTTGCAACAACAGCGCGCGAAAATCACCAAGGTATCAGTATAGTGCCCATAACTTCCAAGGTGCCCTCTGGTATTACCTCACTCATCCTCGAGAGTCAGATTCGCAAGAATGGACCCGGGTTTCGCACTTGGATGAGTCTATCGTATTTTCACTTTGCGACAAATGATGGGATTGCACCGCTTCTCCCCACAAACAACAATGGTCATTTCTGTCGAATTTAAAACCATACTTGACTCCATTTATCGCTACCACCTGCGGCATCTGGGGAAGGTTATCCCTTTTAAATTCTTTTCCCTTACACAGGACTACTTCTATAGAGGTTTACGTACATAAGACAAGGTGTCTCCCGCTTTTACCACAACCAGCGGTGTCAGCCACGGTTGCTCTTTGTAACCCCTAATCATTAACTTCATACTCGACATGCCGTTTGAGTCCTATTCATCTGCCTCTAAGTATTCCTCGAGCGTTCGTTCACAGACAATGAGTGCGTTGACGACCCTTTGTAAATGCAAGCTATCTTAAATAACATAAATGATTGCTCTGCACATTTCGGCATGTACTATAAACTGTAGAGTGTTACTGCAAGATTGAGTGAGAGCAAATCCGAATCCCAAACTTGCAGATGAACCGACGATGTAATAGTTCATTTTTCTGGCGGCTGAATAAGTCGTGCGTACTGGCGATAGACGAAATCACCTCCCGAATTGTGAATGCTAGGACAGCGTTTGTCAACCTCCTACATCTGTGGCGTCAGTGTGACATCAGTCTGAATAACAAAAGTAGAGTGCACACTGTTAAGGCTCGATCCGCACTATTTTATGGACCAGAGACGTGACCGCTGTGTGCGGAAGATCTTACAAGACTTGGTGTTTGAACGTCGGTGGCCCTGAAACATTGCGCGAATCCGGTGTGAATATCATATCAATAATGCTGAGGTACTCCAAACGGTTTTTAGGAAAGGTCATTCCCTCTCAATAGATCAGCTCGTTAAGCTCCACAGGTCATGTACTTCATATGCCAGAGGACGATTTGTCTCGTGCAGCCTTCTTTCAGCGATGGTTTCGATGGAGACAACGTCCAGCGGTTAACCCATGACTTGTAAACGAACCATGAAAGTTCTCACTAGTCAACTCAGCCGCGTTGGAAAATGCCGTCTCCCCGGAAGGAGGTTTGATGATGGGACAAAGAAATGATTAGGGACTCCAGCAGATATGGCTGTGTCACGCAGTCAATATTTTCTGGTGGATTTCTCAAGGCTGGTTACCTATGAGTCTTAACATTCAGAATGGGAGTCAAGACTCGGGCCCACAGTCTCCTATGTGCCTTCTTGCCAGGATTGCCATAAGGTTAGATAAACAGAAAGATTTAGAAGGATACCCACAATAACCGTTGCATCAGACAGGAAGTCATGCTGCACGTAGTGTGATTCAACTAGGAACCTGAAGTATGTAATCCAATAGGTTGTCCGAATTGTCAGCTATTTTTCACATGGGATAGGTAAGAATGAGACCTGAGGTGCGAGTAAAAGGAAATTCTCCTAAGTACATCCCGAACTGGCGGGAGTACGTAAAGATTTCGACAAATAATCAGCCAGTATCGGTCAAAACTGTTGTGTTTCAATGCTTCTTGAGATGTCCAAGCACGAGGTGAGAGCGAAATCTTGGCCTTTTGTACCCGAGATTAAATCGACCCGAAGCACTACGTAAAGTAGTGAGCTTTGAACATCGTCTGAGAATTAGCTTCACTGTTCAGGTGCCTCACCATGGGTATCAATCGTAGATCGACCTCTAACTCAACACAGTAGGGGGTAGGTAGCTTGCGCTAGCGTCTGAGGAGGTACGATTGCCCAACTTCGAAAAATCTTGCATATCACTGGCACTCCACCTCTCACTAACAGATTCAGTCTTTTTCTCATTTCTGGAATACGATATCCTTTCCCCCATTTCGTCGTCACCAAATGGTAATAGTCATCTGGACTTACATAGGGTCGACACCTTCGCCCTTTTCTTCTTCTACTCGAACAGATCTGCTCTCAGGTTTTCCAATGTACCTGACTACATATCATCTTTAACTCTCAAAATCCGGGAGAATTCCTCCCCCCCCCCTGAAATCCCTGCATTTACTTCTCTACTGTGCATTTTACCTACAGGGGAATAATCTCTGATCATGCGGTTAACTAAGCTCGGTGAGTTGCTTACTATGTAATGAAAAGCGGAAGAAAGGATACGGATATCACTTTAATGTTCAAACGAATCATGACCAGAACTCATCTGCACAATGTTCGAAAGGTCCCAGAAGACCCTAAATCACCTATATGTCTAAGGCTACCTCAGCAAGCACCCAGAGAGTCTCTGAACACATTAAGACAAAATTGAGTGGAGGTCGCCATCCCATCAATAATGCGTTGGAAAGAAGTATGAGGCAACATTGCTTATACAACTTGATACAGGAAATCTACGCGGGGAAGCACATTCGTATGCGAATGTGTATATCTCGCGCTACTTCGACTGTGTGTAGTCGTTTTAGCCAAGTGGACAGTTGTTGCGAGGTTCAAGACGTTCAATGCAACGGTGACCCAAGGGCCAATGACTCACAGGAAAATAGGGAAAAATGCTGTTTCCAATCGAGCACTGCTGATTGGGACAGCAGGTGTTCGGTACGTAATGCAATATCCCGTAGTCCAACTGGTTATCATATCCGCAACACTGGAACTAAAAAGCAGATAAAACGAGGAACATATAAGTATCACTGGATTAACAATTGAAAGACAAAATACGTAACAGCCTTGGATGAAAATGACAAGAGCGCTGGAACCCAAGGATAACATGGTAACTTATGGAGTTGCACACTGAAAACGAACTGTTCCTTGTAAAACGTGACTGTATTAGGAGAAATAACACTACAGGCACATTATTCTTCTAGTCATCTTAGCTCGATCCAAATAAAGGTAGGAAACCTGGAATTCAGGTTACTCAGCCCGCAGAGTCACAGGTTTCATTCTGATTTTCGCATAAAAACGATAAACTGGAGTAGCGAAATGTAGCCAAGTCTACTGCACGAAACGAATGCACAGTGATCGGTCCGGCATTCTTGTCAGTGGAGCGAACTTCAACTTTCTTATATTCATATAGTATAACCGCCATAAATCGACCGATAGTAAAAAAATAAGCAGCCCTTAGAATTAACTGTTCCAAGATCGCACTCGAAACACTCTAAAGGATTGATATATGAGGTTGTGATTAGATTCATCGAAAACCAACGTGTTGCAGAATAATTATCCTGACTGAAGACATGAGAACGCCATCTGCTTATGTGGCTTGGCGTTCTCGAGCGTGTTGACGTATGTCAGCCGTTTGCGCATTTACCAGTTCTTTGGCCAAGATAGTCAGCTGCACAAACCAATGGTAGAACATTACCATAACTCCCAGTGCAACTGTTGAGCACCACTATATCTTCCGTACCATCACGCCTGCCGCGTCCTATGGTCAAACTGATTTGAACCAGAGTAGTTCGCTCGTCTCCGTATACCTCAAACCCTGAGGAAATTACAGTAACTGTCGTACTATTCTTATTCTGAGTTTTAGACCCAGTGCGCTTCGAATTGGGTTAGATTCTGGTCATAGCTACCCTCATCAGCGTCTTGGGCATCATGTTCCTTCGAAATTCCCTTAAAAAGTATCCACAGAAATTGGAACGAAGTGGAAGAGGGACAATTTTACTGGTTCAGTTTCTTTTCAGTCTTCTGTTCACTCAGATGGGTTCCCCTTATGGAACAATCGCAAAAATGGACAGCGGTGAACCTTGTGTCATTCTCGGACTAAGCGCAATGACTAACCCACCTGACAGGTTCGGAGCATAGCAACCAGACTAAGACAATCCACATGCCAAGCGTTAAGTGAACGTACCCTGATGACAGGCACCTGCGGCGTTGTGAGCTGACCAGTGAGTTTGGCGCTGCGACCCATCAGTGCGACTTCGAAGACTCCTTATACGCGACAGACATTTATATAATCATTATGTACTATTATCAGCATCCTTCGGTCGAGCATTCTACAAAAAAGGACTCGGTTAGGTCACAAAAAGGCCATTTTCTTCTCATATTAAACGAGGTTAGGAAGCGAACACAGAATTTGTTCGGTAAAACAAACACCTATTAATATGGCATGATTCGTTTATCCTACTGGTCAATAATTTTTACGGTGGGTCTGACGACCACTGAACCTTGAATGTCCTTTGACCAAACTTTAATTGTTATCGGCGGATAATTAGGACTGAACATCCGGTGCTGTTGCACCGGAGGAGAATTGAGAAGACTGTTAACAGGACTTGGAACTACTGGGCCGGAGCTCCCAAGATGCTATCAATAAAACAATACAATAGAATGGACTTTGGATTCATGTTGTGGTTTGTTGCGCCGAAACTTCAAGTGTTGCCAAACGCTAAACAGGAAGCCCTCATCAGAGTTTGCCTCTACGTTTTATCCCCTTACTGATAATTCTCCTACAGAATTATTTGGAATCAGCAAACAGGCTGTTCAGAAAATAAGATATCCGTGACAGGTCAGACTTGCTGTTTGATACAGACATCGCAAGACACCTGAAACCAAGCTGGCTTGAGCGTTACAAGCATGACCCGTTTAGCGCAATTCTGTAGCGGGTGCAGTGATTCTATCCAAAAGAGTACCACCGAAGAGAGATTGTTCCTCAGAAGAGGAAAAGTGTCCGGTACTAAACTACCTCGTATTATCAAAGACAGCTTGCATCCGAAAAGAGAAGTGTCAAAGAGAAGAATGGCCTGGTCATTCAGTATGGAAAACGCTTTTTGTCCATTGTAGTCTATACCTGCTTAATTAGATAACGCTCACCTTCCTGTAGATGAAGACAATTAACACAAATTAATTGATAAAACTACCGATAAAACTACTAAACATCTGAAACAAACCACTGCTTTCGAGCCAACTTCAGACTGAGCATTGGGAAAAATAAACATGGTGAAACCTTACAACAAAGATCAAGGCTCACTTAATCCCCTGTGGGCTTAAAATTAGAAAAATATAAAGTTAAAACCGCCATCAAAAGCAAGGATGCCCTGTTGGACATAATGTTGCCAAACGACAGGGGACTTTCTGTTTATTCATTGAGTTATCAGCTTGCAAGTTACGAGAGGACAATAATCAAGCTTCAAATCAATCCACTTCATCTCACTGATGTTGACGGATGGTTCCATTTAGGTTTGTTTCCGACCGTCACTTGAACCACAATATGATAACCGTGTATGTATATGCATGTTTACGGGCCAAGCCTAGGCAGAGGTCGGATTCGAACCACAGGCCTTCCGGTCAGTAAATTCGTGCTCTAACCACTTGAGCCATCTCACTCCCTTGGAGGAATACTTTATCAGTCATGAGAGCAATGATATACGCATCCCAAATTTCCATATTAGTACAGTAAAACACCGAAGGCATGCTATGACCATCCTTTACAACACCTATAGTACACCTACACATATACTTTCATATGTCTATATATAAAATCAGCGCCAGTATCGTTATCAGAGACGGCAACATCCATGTTGCCACTGAACAATCGCTGCCGTACGCAGACAAAACACAGTTAATTACACTTGAAGCCATAAAGTGAAAAAACCGCAAAGACTGATGGGAAAGGAACCTGACTACTGGGGCACCAACAAATCGATTAACTGTTATTTCCTGAAGTTTCCAGCCAAGTACAAGAAGGATTAGGGGAGCCCCATATCGAAAGATTGGCCACACCAACATCACTCAAACTTTTCGCATCGTTCTGCCGAATCACACATTGTCTACCAGCCGATTGCGCCATTTCGAATAAGTATGCTTACTACAGCGAAGAATCAGTGTTGAACATCGATTTTATGCTGCCAACGACTGATTGATTGAATGAATGAATAAGCTTGTCTGAACAATAAATAATGAATCAGAGTACAGTGGTCCCAGCGCCACAGTTTCGTTCGCTGAAGATAAGGAGAATAAGGGAATGAGAGTCAAGCTTCGAAGGCGATGGCTCAATCGGTTCTTGACGTTAATGTTATGTTTGTCCGATCCGGCATGTAGTGAGAAACCGTTTGATGCAGGATCGCCACTGGCTGCGTGGCGTGAAGCTACACAAATATGAAGAGAATGAACATACCCGTCGGGCCCCAGTGATAGTAGGAAAGCTTTTGGATAGCACACCATACACTCACGCGACCGCAAGTATGTGAACGCAAACAGTGAACGATATTCACGAACTCCTGTTGCGAGTCTGCTAAGAGCTAACTGGTCGATAGAATTGAGCACACTCGTGAAGTCAAGGAACATCGAGATTGTATGGCGTCTATATGCATGCCGTTGCTCTGAAATGTGGCGGAATGTGAAGATAAAGCCTTCGTGGTCAGTATAGACCTAATGGCAGGTGACAGCATCGAAGTTCTCAACAGCGTTCTCATCAGATGTGTAGCTCATAGCGTAAGTCCTGTAAGAGATCTCTTGAACACAAATGAAAGCAAACACGTCAGACAAGTATCGACTGAAGATTTCATCTCTATTTTTAAACAGAGAGGGTTAGAATTCCTCAGGACCAGCAGCTCGGTGACCCTTAAGAGAGAAAACGGATCTGCGAAGCGGTCGGGGGATCCAAGTTCACTGTCGAGCACTGCGTTGCGGGTCGGGACTCCTGCACGGCAACTGCCGGTGGCCCATTGAATTGCTGCTGAAAATGCTCAACCCAGCGATTCAGGGGTTATTCTTTTTTGGTTAGGCGAGGCGTTTTTAGCACTGGTTGTTTCGATTGCGCTCTTTCTGTTACGGCCCGGCGTATCTACCAGTGTCCCTAACGTACGAGCGTATATCGTTTTTCCTGCTGCGTTGACACCACCCTGATTTGCCCGGAGACCCTACTTAGTACACCGAGGTCGTCCACCTCAACAACGGTTCCGGATGGCACGTTGGATGGAACACGGGTCTGCAGAAGGCCTGGTTTACAGCAAACGTGTGCCATGAATTGATACCACCAAAGGCCATGCTTAAGGTCGGTCGTTGAAAAAAAAAACAGATTTCGCCGATTCTTCGAACTGTTTCGAAATCGAATGAAACAACTTCGTTTGTAGCACGTGAGTTTTGGGGATGCATCAAAATCGTTTGATGTTAAAAATAGTCTGAGAAAAACGATTGGTGAATTAAAACTGACTTTGAATTGTGATTTTTGGCAACAAAATGATGGGGGGCGTATGCCTGTACGTGTATCACTTATGTGTGTATCATTTATGAGAAGCCAGACTGGTCGATCTCGAAGCAAATCATGGGATACTCCGGTTAATTCGGGAGCAAAAAATATGCGATTAGTGAGTAAACCTGGAAAGAACAGTGATTTCTTAACAATCAGACGCCCGTTTGAGAACAGACGCTGATTTTTGCCTCACCATTCAAACAGGTGCCAAATGGCATGAACAAATCTATTACTCTTCATTATATCTTTCATATGCTGGTGGCTGCGGGATTCTGCAGAATACATACTCACATGACTCTCGTTTGAACAATCGTTCTCCTGTCCTCACGCAATCATCCTGGTGAGTCCACTGGGCTCGAGTTTCGCTCCTATTAGATCTCATCAGCAGTGCAGCAGCATATCTAATGGCCGTAATTCGCATGTCAGATGTGCGGAGTTCAAAACCTAGCACGGTCATTCGATATGCACTGCTGATGAGTTCTAATAGGAGCGAAACTCGAGTCAATGCTTTTCCCCCTTGGTGCGGACTCACCAGGATGGCTGCGCGAAGACATGAGAACGATTTTTCAAACGAGAGTCATGTGATTGTGTACTCCTCATTTTATGCTTAACTAAGTTTGGTGAGCTAAATACTGGAGTTTTGAATAAGTAGTCCACCGAGTCATTTTCGCCAATTGTTGCAAATAGAAATCAACGGGCGCATTTCCACCGTACACGATCACACCTTTATCGGATTCTAAGGTCAGTGCTGCATCCTTGAGGAAAGAAATTTGTCGAAATCTACAGTCTGGACAATTTTTACTCTACACAGAACGTGTAAGCCTAGTAAGGTTGGATGACATCGCCACTTACGGGAATTCTCCCGATGCGCCCATTATTACATATATTCATCCTCATCCTATCTTTTACTTTGATTATGCTGACTTTGTTCATAGCACAACATGTGTCCCTGTGCGGAACTTTCCCGAGACATGGATCGGGGCTGTCCTCTGCGATTTACATAGCATGGTATGCTTGGCGGAAAATGTGAAAGCACATAAAACTATCAGTCGATTTCCCGCATTTCCCTTAGTTTTTGGCCGCATAGTCCTTCGTCCAGATACAACGCCACATTGTTGAACGGCCAGCATCAGCTTCTGAGGCCAAGCTGGAGATCTGCGACGGACGACTATAGGGGAACGTGCGACAGATGGTTTACTTCTCCTATTGCCCTTCCTCTCTTACCGTGAACGAGACAACGCTGTTCTTGTTAACAGCCGCCTGTGTTATTGTGGGGCTTACAGTTTTTCATATCCAGTTTAAGAGATTTCATGGTGTTTCTTCATTTTTCGCATCCCCGACTAAATGAACGTCATTCATTCAGCTCCTGATTGGCATAAGGTTCAAGTGTTTATATCCCGCGCCCTTTTAACAAATAAAACACTCTGTGGATAACTCGTTTCCTCTTGAAATTTGAAAAATTCATTGCTGATTTGAGATTCTTTACGGACGGCTGCTTTTCTTGAGGAGGCATGTGGTCTTCGTCAACACTGGACAATTTGGCACAGCCAGAGGAAATAACGTTTCATGGCAGCACTTCGCCAACTATGATGCCCTGGTGTCTTCGTTCACATAAAACACTGTCACAGGCTCCAGTACCTTTTGGTACAACATAGTGGGCGGAACAGGAAGCCAAGGAGTGACAAGACCGTTCGCAAGTTACAACGGCTGAAGACAACCCAAACTACAATATCAATTTCGGCAGAGCAACTCTAAGTAATTTTACAACAACAAGAGCAGTTCGAAGGGGCTCAACTGAAGTTCACTGAATACCTGACACGCAGTATGTCGGTGAATGCGACAAAAAACTGTTGGGCCTCTGTTTTCTCCCAAAGATGCTACCACCAGCTCGAGTAGGGAATGTGATTTTAGATGTAAATTCAATTTAGATGTGCGGCCAATGACGTGAGTCTTGTAGGAGATTCATGAAGCATCGTAGTGACATTCAACGTTTAAGCTAACTCAATTTGATGTGATGATCGCCCTGATTTCTCAGAGCGTAGTTCATTCCATTTCCACTGTATAATAAATGTTTAGTGGAATTATTTGATAAAGGCTGCCGTGTGAATCGCCTGCTGATATGAAATCCCGCGAAACTTTCTTGGCATTCCAGTTTTTTAACAGTTACACCAATGTGTTGTGAAAATCGCTCTAGATAACGGCCCTCACTGTAGCAAATTCCCCACGAATAAAGGCTGTGGAAGCCACCCCGGCTAGTCGTCCCTTCACAGCATGACCACTACCCTTATCGGACCGAATTCGCCTGGTTTTCCGAATCGTGCGGGAGTGAATACTCTAATCCGATTTTTAAAACACATTTTGCTGCGATTTTCGTATGGCTACTTGATGTGGTCAGTTCCCAACAGAAAATGCATGAGTGGCCCGACAAAGATGGAAGGCATAGCCTGGAGTAGCCAATTGAGACTACTTAAATAGACAAGTTGGGTGGCTAATGAGTCGTCGGAAATTTAATAAGCCAAGCTTGAGAACTTAAGTAGGGTAGTTGCCTAATTTTGAGTCTGCTTGGTTGGATATGAAATGTGCTTCATAACCAGCATGATGACGACCGTATGGGTTGAATAGTGATCAGAAGGTAGTAAGAAGTAGAGAGCGATCCGCCGCAGAATTCATAACCGACAGAGCAACAGAGTTTATCGCTAAATGTAGTGCATTACTCAAGAAAGGTCAAATGCAAGTAGGAATCTTCTCCGGAAAGGCTGAAGGTGGCTTCTTCTGGAAAGGAAATTATGACTGGAATATGTTCCGGTGGACCAAATAAAAGTAGCACCTCTTGGAATGGATAGGAATCCTATGCTCTTTGACGCCCTGTAGTTTGGTTCCGTTAACCAAGGCGATAATGTACGGTTGCAGACACAATAAATTAATAGGGTAACACCTAAGTGATTCCTTCACCATGCTCTTTGGTACCTGTCTGAGCTATAGGAAGAAAATGGTACAACCCTACGACTCAAGGCACACGTATCAAAACAGAAAATGTACTGAAGAGGAGCACAATACTGACCGACCCAGAAGGTCCGCTGTCTTGATAGGGAGAGACATAAAAATACACAAATTTATGGTTGCATGGAAACTTAACGACAGGAAACCCTACCATAATTTGAATTGTGTCCATCCATCGGATCTCCCCACGATGTAATTTGATGTCTTCAACGCCAGCCTTCAGGGTTAAATGGACCAATTGCTGCGCCTAGAAGTAAATAAAAAGAAAACGCGAGAAAAGCATATGATCAAACCAATTACGAACAAATCCAGACAAACAACTGAGCCGATGAACAGATAATTTCCATTTATTTGGACACTAAACTGACTTTACACAACCCTTCTTCGTAAAATGGCAGAGTCGTGTTCATTGAAAAGGGCGCAAAAAATACACTATAAGGTTACTGAGAACTCTTCAATAGTCCAAGACCAGTTTTGCCCTTCTTGATGCTCATCAGGTAGGTGCAGTTCCAGAGTTTCCTTCAACCTCATGTTATAGTTGCCTAAGAACATCATAAGCGAGCGATTCAGCTGGGTTTCAAGTAAATCTCCCGTCAAAACCGAATTGATTTGTAAATGAGTCTTTGTCGAAATAAAGAGATGTTTCGATTTTCTTATTAGGCAAAAAGTAATCGTTCTGCCATTGTAAACTTCCCCTGCATAGCTCTCATGAAATCCGAAGGAAACACGGGGCTGAGGGGGTTCCAGGTTACCAAAACCTAGACGGAAGCGAACGAGAACTCGCAGTTGAGTTCGAGTCATGAAATTTAGGTCGGTAGCTTCGTACCTTGTAATTCACAGTTGATTATCTCATACTATAATACCGCGTCTCTGAAGCACTTTATGAAGCGAGCTAACAACCGCTAAGCTATCTTAACCTAGTCAGTGGAATAGCCACGGATTCCGTTATTTCTGTCGGCATCCTAAGTGCACTACTGTAACATGCAAAATACCGCTGGCAGTTCCCGTCTATTGATGCCAGGGATTGTCTATAGTACCCCAATACTAGAACCGTGGTTCCATAACTATACAGCTTCGTACATTGCTTTCAAAAGAAGAACCAGACCATTCCCCTGATCAGCGCCACCCGACCCAAGAGCATCACTTCGGAAAGCAACACAATAGTGACACTCGTTTAGACTTTTGGGAAATTCTAGAGAGGAGCACCATGTGTTTTAAACGTACAGAACATGGGGCTCGTTCAAAAGATCAGAAAAAGAGTCCTGCAAAGTTACGGTCCCTATTTAAAACCGAAAATCCACTATGCAAGGAATTATGCCGGTTAAAGACCACTGGACCATGAGGATGCTGTGAAGCAAACGATCCTTTGATACCTTTCAGATCACGCCACTCATGCGGTGGCTGAAAAAAATTCGGAAGCCCACGACCGGTTCCACCCTTCTTGGGGATCAACGACTAGGCGCAGTCTGCCAGTTTCCGTCAACCGCAAGTTCTATTTGGACCCAAAGTATACGAAATTCGCAAGAAAATTCCACTCATTTGCATATCTATCTGATTTTCGATTAGATTCAACTGATTCACAGCTCTATTTCTCGTTTGTTCAACAACATTTACTGCACCAAAGGCTACCTTGCTATGATATTCTAGATATCACAGTAGACTTTTCCAAAAGAGTACATTATCCTGTTATGAACCCCAAAAGAGCGAAACCGGTCATGGGGTGTCGGAGTTTCGTTGGTATGCGAAATTCAGCGGATATCGGATCATGATTACCAGCTGGGTTCACACTTTCGATCAATCAGGGATCGGCTAGATGCTACACTGGTAAGTGCCTCGATGTTCCGACCAATCGCGTGTGGGATAGGCTTCTTAGACGTAGCAGCGAATAACTGCGAGCAGTAAGGAGGTATCGGTGCGGAATTCCACCTACCGATTAGCAAGTGAGTGCATTCCACCAAATTCGTCGTTTTCTTTGCGCTTGTTGTTATGCGCTTAGGTCACAAATGCCACGTATTTTGCGTCCACAGCTGATAAAAGCAAGTGAAACTTTACAATCTCGTGAGCTATATATCGTCGTCCAGCCACGGTTCACTGCAGAAATCAACTGAACTGAAGCCGGCATATCTTGTCTCAGAAGTAAGGCACCCGAAGTCGGAGTGACAAAAAAAGAATGAATCAGTGGAGGAGGTTGTTTGTCCTGTACCCATCGCTCTGGAAGTTAGCTAAAATCACAACCAGATCCACCGTCGATTGTTTGAGAGTTTAGTTAGTTGGCGGTGTTCGTTCCTGAAAAGAGGACTGGGCCTAAACATTCACAGGACTTGCCATGTGGAAACGCGCATAGAAAGCTACAGCATATTTGTAGCCGCGCTTAGGCGACTCACTGCCCTTCGGTTACTGTTCAACAACTCATGTCCATGACAAATGCTTTTGTGAGCAAGTCCGTGATGTCTGCTTTCTGCTGTGATACGGTAGTTAGCGATTCGAAAGCATTGAGCTTAAGTCACTGAGCTTTCTGTTGCGACACAAATTCAATGGAAAATACGGTCGCGGATCACTCAAGTCAACGGCTGCGCCACTACAAGGTAGCATCATAGTGCCAGGGACGAGAGCCTCCTAATGTCTGTACCGTAGCGCCCCCGAGTGGTAACGAGGGTCTGCACGGTGTAGTTTTTGCCCTTATTAGACGGGCTCATTGGAACCAGTATCACCGAGGATTGCAACAACTCGCTTCAAAGGCACTCCAGTGCGTCTGACCGTTATACCCGCCTACGATCCCACATCATCATATCTCTCTGTCAGACTATTGAGTCATTGGCTCCGGGAAGGGTCCCCCAAGAAAACCCTAACAACCGCGGTCTCGCGGTTCAGACTTTTGAGTCAGGGGCTCGGAGCAGGGTCCCCGAACAAGACCCCACATCCTCCCACTGCCTTGTGGGTCAGGTTTTGGAGTCAAAGGCTCAAAATGGAGTACCTCAACCAAACCCCTTCTTCGGCTTAGGCGACCGGGATGTATCATTCGCCGTTGCAGCTCTTCGCTCACCGGCCTTCCGTTTCACCCCCTCCCCAAGGTGCGGTCAATCCATCTGCCACTACCTAGCCCATGTTGCATCTCTAAACCTCAAAAGGTCTGATCCACGTTGCAGTCTTTATTGTCCGTACTCTATGTCAAAGTAGACAGCACACAAATCTTGCTGGGACCTCGCTTTCCCTATCTGTCGATGTATGCTGTCTCCGAAATATGTATACAAGGTCCCCCTTCGGTCGTGCACCTCAAGCCGATCGGGACAAGCTCAGATGTTCCATATTTTACTCTTCGGGTATCCAGTGATTCTAACGCAACAACTCGTGATATCCACGGTGTGTGAGTTACACTCAGCCCCAAGATAGAAAGCGCCTTACCATACTGGACCCCAGTAACCAGTCATCTTTACGCTGCGCGGTTGTCTGACTCAATTAAAGTCAATGCAGTCCGATGCGACGAACGATGTGTATTTGTCGTATAGGCATACGCCCCGACAGACTGCAGTTCTGAGACTGAGAAGGAAGGATATTGCAATCCCAGCAAGTGATATGAATGCTCAATTTTGACGACTAAGTCCAGAAGAACCCAGTTAGGTGGTATATTTGGGGTCGATGCTCAGCATAAGAATAATGAGGAACGACTGCATCAGTTGTGCGCTGACCGTCGTCGGTTCCTAGTCGGTAGGAATTTCCAACACAAACGCTCACATCGAGCTACTTCGAGGCCACCAACTACAAGACATTCATGCACTCAATTCGATCATGTGTCTAGCAGTTATCGATGAAGAGCATCAGGTAAAAATTGTCATTCCTTCTGGGGCACGCAATTTGACTCTAATCATGCCACTGGGCGAGCCCAGTTAGCACATCACTGTCATTCAGGATCACGCTTACCAAGGTAGAGCAGTTCCACTCATCAACTTTGACAAGTCTCAGTAGCTCAAGAGTATCAAGCTGACCTGGCTGGAAAGCTACTGCAAACGCACAGTCATATGGATGAAGGAGATTGCTCGAAGGTTGACTGGAAGCCAAGCTCTCGACATTCATAACCGTCTGTCCAAACCATATGACTCGACTAAATGAACACTGGATATCATCGAGACCAAAAGATCTTATTGCTACCAGGAAGATCATACCACCAACACGCGATAGTGATGACACACACAGATCCCTTAAACATCGGTCAATCAGGAGCTTGAAGAATGACAGAGAGCGCTGGTGGATTTTGAAGGCCCACATGATGGAGAAGGCTTTCGCTGCAGGCAACAGCCGCACCCTATTTCAGCTGATTCGATCAACCGGCCAAAAGAACGCAGGTGTCAGTAAAATAATATGCGTAAAGGACGGTGCGACATTCCACTCAAAGACCCATCGTCTTGAGCGATGGGTTGAACATTCCAGAAGACAGTTCAGCTGGTCTCCTTCAACACAACCTCTGGAACAACTCAGCGGGTCTGAATGGAACATCGACACCAGCCCGCCATCAACAACAGAAATCCAGCGGGAGATACCAATCCTCAAGCGCGATAACACACCTGGAGCGGATGGCCTACTCTCCACACCGTTCAAAGGTGGCAAGGTCCCGGTGAACAGAAGCTTTGGAAAGAAAACAGAATACCAGTCGAATAAAGCTGCTCGACCGTCATCCCAGTCTTCAAAAAGGGCGCAAGAACGTCATGCGAAAATTATCGTGATACCAGCCCGGTTTCCGTCGCATCTAAGGTGCTCTCTGGCATTATTTTTCACAGGTTGGTCGATTATGGAAAGAGATAGATTTGAGAACCAAGTTGGGTTTCGCACAGGCTGAATGAGGATCCACTGACCATATCTCTATCTTGAGACAAGTTCATGAACAATGCCACTCCTCAAACGTCCCAAATTGACCGCTTTTTCTTGATCTGAAAGCTCCTTCTGACTCTGTCGACCATCAGAAACTTTGGCGGTGTCTGGCGATTAAAGGTCTCCCTTCCAAATTTATATCCATTACGAGGGCTCCGTATGCCAACTACTGCAGGCGTGTACGAGTATACGGCAAGATTTTGCCTTAGAGAACCACGCCGTCTCTCAACATTTCTATTCAAATTTGCTATTAATGTGCTGCATGAAATTTCCCTGCCTATCTCTGAAACTTCGGGTTTCGAAGTGCTCCCGGGGCGTTCGCTCATAAACATTCGGTATGCGGACGACATTGCTCTCCTTGGTTTAGATTCTTCCAAAATGCAAAACATTTTAAATAACCTAAATAAGTCTGCTGCCCGGTTTGGCATGCGCCTCACACCTGCAAAGCGTAAAGTGCTACTACAAGACTTGGTTGGATCAAACCCAAACCTCATGCTTGCAGACGAACCAATCGAGATGGTAGATAATTTTTCTTCGGGAAGGCCATGCCAGCCTTTGCCAGCCTCCAACACCCATGGTGCTGACATTACGTCACTGTGCCTGTCAAGGACAGAGTTCACATTGTAGCAGTGCGATCCATACTGCTTTATGGATCACAAACGTGACCTCCAAGCGCAGAGGACAAATGAAAGATGTTAGTGTTTGACTATCGGTGTCTTTGGTCGGGTCTGGTGGAAACATCGGATTAGTAATGCTGAGGTACGCCAGGTGGTTTTAGGAGGAAGAAACTCTCACACGATACATGAATTACCCATAGTTCATAGGTTAAGCCGGTTAGGACATGTACTCCGCATGCCACAATACTGTCTGCCTGGCAGAGCCATTTTCGCTCAGCCCAGTGCCGAGTGAAAACAACCGAGAGGTAAACAGTGTATGGCCTGGCAATGAAGTACGAAAACACTAACAGGTAAACTGGGTTAGGTCGACAACTACCGCCTCCCTGGATGGGGACTCCGGGACTCAACTCACCAACGGTTAATAACACTGACAGAAATAACCCAATCGCTCAGTCGGTGGCGCTCGTGCATCAAAGCTATCGCTTTCAGTGCATAATTACCCAGTTACCGAACTAACTGAATACGCCATCGCATCGCTGTATGTCACGCATTCTCCCACTTCCCAGTGATTGAGACTGCATCCGGTTCATAGCTCAGAAATTGAATTCAAATCGAATTCCGAGAAGTGTCTTCAACTACAGGATGCGATCAACAACCAGATTATAGAGGAGACATCAGGTCCCCTATTTCAACTCATCTCCGTCACAAACATTTGGCTTCGTCTAGAGACATCCGTACAGAATGCCACTCTATAGAATCTTGGATTTAAAGCTCGATGCCACAAAAATTGGATCTCCTAAAGGACCATTCACCTTTCGACACAAGAGAACAGCCAAGGAACCTTTGAGACGCTGACGGTCAACTAATAAGTGACTGAGAAAAAAGCTGAAGAGATAACCTGAATACTTCAGCTTGCTACTCATCCACCCACTGATATCAACAGCCTCGTTACCATCGGCATCAGGCTGACGCCGGTGTGGTTACCACACTTATTACGAAAGCTCGTGAAACAGTGACTCGAGAGCGGCAAGCAGGATTCTGGCTTCGAACGGTTGCCCAAGTCTCCACATTCCATCAGGTGCTAGAACGTCATACGTGCAAACGATCCACAATTCTAGTATTCCTGGATTTCAATGACGCATTCGACTCGATTGACCGGCCTGTTCTTCTTGACAAGCTTGCCCATCAAGGAATGCTCCGAAAGTTTGTAGACATAATAAATTCTTTGTACTTCCAGACTCCCAGACGTGGAAGAGTATACGGAGAGCTCTCAGAAAGTGGTGTCTGTCAAGGTTGCCTACTCTCTCCATTCCTAAAAAATTCCGTGATCGACAAGACAATGAAACGAACGCTGAAAGGTCATCAAAACTATGGTTTTCGAACAACTGCTGGGGAAAAACTTGTCAATATGGAATATGCAAACGACATCGTTCTCGTCTTACAAGATAAGAAGGAGCACGTTTTTTTATTTACTGACCAAAGTTATCACGTCCTATGGTATGCATTTTGCACCCAAAAAATCTTAGGTCATGCTTCTGGAGATGCAGCCATGGAATAGGCCACCAACAATCCATAGTGGCACTTGGAGCTGTGGAGTCTTTCACGTATCATGAAGGTTATATCAACTCCGATTGTAGTGTGGCAGAGGAAGTACATGCATTAATCCTCAAGGCTCAGATCTCGTTTCCCTAATTTGAGACACCTATGGCGTCAAAGCAGTGTATCCCTGGATCTCAAAGAATGTACGTATCAGGCTACAGCACGGTTTGTTTTATTGTATGACTGTGAGACTTGGCCTATTTGATCAGCGGAACTGGGACCTCCTTAGGTCTTCGGCGGTGGTTGTCTCAGAACCATAGGTCGTGTGGGTTGACGTCGGCAGGTAGAAAGCGAGTTTTTGGATGTGCAACTTGGCTGGCACTAGTTACTTCCCCGTTCACTTTTATTCTTTTCTTCTTCACAATAAGGCTTTCAAAAATCCTGGTTGCACGGCAGCAAAGCATCAGTGTTGAACACTGATGTCATGCTGCCAATTATGAGGATGACGACGGTGAGGATGATGATGATGATCAGTGTATAAGCTAAGGCAATCAGGCTACATAGGAACAAAAAGTCTCCAGGTGAAAGCTTCCGAAACTCTTCGTAAGCTCTCTGCTCAATGTGTGAAGTCACAATGCTCCCGGTGAATTCGGTTATCTTGATACTGATATCGATAATAGAATAGGTGACATAACGGTTTGTGAGAACTACCGGGATATTGGTCTGATAGGTATCGCAGCATCAGTAATTGTCATATTTGGGAGAAAGTCACCATGAATCAAGTAAACTGAAACAGTAACACCATCATTTCGGAAACGAGAACCAAAAATGATTTGGAAGGCGCAGTTGAGTGATCGAGACGTCGAATATTGCAGTCTTAAAATTCCAATGTCCCTCCCAAAAACCCCACATATGGGGTACAAGGTGTGTGAACATATACAGGTGCTCGGAACACACAACCGATTCCAGGATACTACATCTAGCCGGGACATTGGAAACAACTGGACGTACAAAACTCACCTGGTCACGGTACACAAATCCAGCGACACCGACTGCAATTTCCGCCGCAAATATTATAAGGAGCAAAGCGAAATAGAATCCTAGAAGGCAACGGCTGTAATGGTATGAACCACAACAGCCCAGTATCCCCAGCACCACACTCAATGCACCAACTGTGATGATCAGAATAAAAGTGTAGGCTAGAAAGTTGTGGTTTTCCATCCCACGAAATCCAAATGAAGAAAAATGGAAGTAGAGCCCGGCACCAAGGAGAACCAATCCGATAACCTGGAAAAGTGTGAAAGAAATGGGAAAATGTCTTCAGAATCCCATTATGTCGAGTTAAAAGGCAACAAGGGGTTAGCATGGCTGACTGAATTCAATTCTCATTGCACGCCTACTGAATATTTTGCTAAAAAATTGTTGGGCTGAAGTGCTAGAGCAGCACACCTGCCATACTTAATAAAACTGATCGCTCAGCTGTACCACTTCCAGGGCCTAGCTACCATGTCCTCGGAGGAAGCCAGAGGGCTGAGAAATCCCCAGGTTATCCAAGCCTAGACAGGAACAGTTGAGATTCTGAGATTGGGTTCGAATCACGGACCTACCTATTAGAGGTTTCGCATATTAACCACTAAGCCATCTCGAGCCATCAAATGAAAGCAGGAAAATACAGCTATGAGGTGTTCTTACGGAATTACAATGCTAAGAACACAGATCAGGAGTTTGTTCACACAACCAAGTTGGCCTTAGTACAAGCTAAGTACCAATACATTAGCTCAGGATAGGTACAATTTTCAACGTACACAACGATAAATCAAAAGATGGAACTCACCGTGAACACGATGTTAAAAATTATCATCAGAAAGCGAATGCATGATGCGCATGAAGTGCACATTGTTGGTTCAAAAACAATGGCAGTAGAGGAAAGGCGAAGGCTGGTGTTTGCAGGAAAACACCAACAGCTGCAACAGGACGTGGAACTCCGAGGATTGGTTACACAGCACCAGACCAAGATCACTACACCATCATCGCAATACACAGAAATACTCTATAAAAAGCAGCCCAAATTGTAAGTGGTTTATTTCATACTATGTGATGCAATTAGATAGTAAACTGAATGTCTAAGAGCAATTTGAAAACCACCCTGTACTGTTCTTTTGAAATATTGCTGATTGAGAATAAACACTGCTAGTGTTACGTTTTTCGGTGCACCGGCGATTCATCGGGATACTCAAGGGCGGACAGCTTTTAGTGTACACATAAGAGTGACAGTTCTCTCATCAGTCCGTACCTATTACCCAAATTCTACACGTGTTTTCTGTATATCAGGAGCAAGATGGCTCCGTGGTTAGAGCGCGATTCTAACAACCGGAAGGTTCCTAGTTCCAAAACGATCTCTGCCTCTCGGCTTTCCCTGTCAAAGTTTGGGTCCGACTTCAGACATCTCATCACAAGAGATAGTGATACAAAATGATTACGTAAAAGCGAGCCTTACATTGCGCATGTATATAAAGTTCCAAAATATCCGAGAATATCCCAGGGTTTTCCGGATTAACACCCTCAGAAGCCGCAAAGCTAGTGCATGATGGCACCTTGGGAGGTGTCGCTGAGTGGTGTCATAAAAAATGCGGTAGGAACATGAGAAAGAGAAAGGAAATGCTTCGCATTAGCAATCATGGAGAAAGACAAGAATCCCCAGGTATAAAGCTGCCCATCAATTGTTAGTTTTGCAACACCTATGACAATCCATCAGCAATTGTATCAGTACGGCAACTGGTCGGACACTGTCTCACGTGTTTCCATAGTCCCTGACTTCACAAACTCGGTAAACTGTCAGCTGACCTAAATACAAGAGTCGTTTAGGAGTTAAGTTTCCTGTACCGTCTAAAGACAGTATACAACACTACGTAAAATTCCAGTCTACATACGGCAAAATTTTATCAGACTTCATAGGAATAAACCCTGGAAAAGATACTATTATCAACAGGTGTAATATAGGCACAGGAACGTTCCTCCTTCCCTCGTGTGGCATGGCAGATAGTTACAACCAGTGCATACCCATGCTTAGTTGATAAACCACACAGGATTTGTGTAGAGTCAAAAGCGAGACTATGGCAAAACGGCACTACCCGTTGATGCTGATGTAGGTTGGGGAGACTAAAGTCTGTGTGCACACATATCCCCTTTGAGAATCACCGAGAGACCTACACACGACGACAGCCAAAAATACCTGCCTGATTGATTTACATAGCGGCAAGGGTATCTACCATCAGTCTAATACCACGAGTTTCCGCACTGTCACACCTCTCTCGAACAAACTATAACAATAAAACTCTGGAACATGCGTATTAATGTGCTGGTTTTGCGGGAATCGATAAGTCGAACGTAAGCCAGCAGTCAGATCACCGATACTGTCAGATGTTAGTTTGAAACTGCAAGAAAATTAGTTCAGGCAACTCACATTTGCCTACACAGACTACAAGTCTATGATCAACGGTTATTGGTGAGTCCCGTAAAGCTGGGACACCTGCCCCCGCAAACCATGCAGGTCCATAAGTCAATTCATAACCAAAGCTACAAAGTACCTGCGGTTCCAATGAACCGCCTTCTAACTGCATACAAGAAAGGATCACAGACGATGGAAAGTCCACGTCCAGAGATACTTCGTAAATAAGTGACAAGCGAAAAAAACGCAGACGCGTACACATTTTGAAGATGCGGCGGAGTCACAGAGGGCTGTACCATTAACGATTCAGACGACCGTAGCCTAAGTGTGGAGTAGCCGTCTCCCTTGAGGGAATGTTCAGCTGTAGCACTTTTCGGTGCCTAACTGCCATGCTACCAGAAGGAAGCACAAGGGATGGGATACTGTCAGGTTGCCCAAGCCTACACAGAGGAAGTCGAGAGGCAGAGGTCGGGTTCGAACCACAGGCCTTCCGGTCAGTAAATTCGTGCTCTAACCACTTGAGCCATCTCACTCCCTTGGAGGAATACTTTATCAGTCATGAGAGCAATGATATACGCATCCCAAATTTCCATATTAGTACAGTAAAACACCGAAGGCATGCTATGACCATCCTTTACAACACCTATAGTACACCTACACATATACTTTCATATGTCTATATATAAAATCAGCGCCAGTATCGTTATCAGAGACGGCAACATCCATGTTGCCACTGAACAATCGCTGCCGTACGCAGACAAAACACAGTTAATTACACTTGAAGCCATAAAGTGAAAAAACCGCAAAGACTGATGGGAAAGGAACCTGACTACTGGGGCACCAACAAATCGATTAACTGTTATTTCCTGAAGTTTCCAGCCAAGTACAAGAAGGATTAGGGGAGCCCCATATCGAAAGATTGGCCACACCAACATCACTCAAACTTTTCGCATCGTTCTGCCGAATCACACATTGTCTACCAGCCGATTGCGCCATTTCGAATAAGTATGCTTACTACAGCGAAGAATCAGTGTTGAACATCGATTTTATGCTGCCAACGACTGATTGATTGAATGAATGAATAAGCTTGTCTGAACAATAAATAATGAATCAGAGTACAGTGGTCCCAGCGCCACAGTTTCGTTCGCTGAAGATAAGGAGAATAAGGGAATGAGAGTCAAGCTTCGAAGGCGATGGCTCAATCGGTTCTTGACGTTAATGTTATGTTTGTCCGATCCGGCATGTAGTGAGAAACCGTTTGATGCAGGATCGCCACTGGCTGCGTGGCGTGAAGCTACACAAATATGAAGAGAATGAACATACCCGTCGGGCCCCAGTGATAGTAGGAAAGCTTTTGGATAGCACACCATACACTCACGCGACCGCAAGTATGTGAACGCAAACAGTGAACGATATTCACGAACTCCTGTTGCGAGTCTGCTAAGAGCTAACTGGTCGATAGAATTGAGCACACTCGTGAAGTCAAGGAACATCGAGATTGTATGGCGTCTATATGCATGCCGTTGCTCTGAAATGTGGCGGAATGTGAAGATAAAGCCTTCGTGGTCAGTATAGACCTAATGGCAGGTGACAGCATCGAAGTTCTCAACAGCGTTCTCATCAGATGTGTAGCTCATAGCGTAAGTCCTGTAAGAGATCTCTTGAACACAAATGAAAGCAAACACGTCAGACAAGTATCGACTGAAGATTTCATCTCCATTTTTAAACAGAGAGGGTTAGAATTCCTCAGGACCAGCAGCTCGGTGACCCTTAAGAGAGAAAACGGATCTGCGAAGCGGTCGGGGGATCCAAGTTCACTGTCGAGCACTGCGTTGCGGGTCGGGACTCCTGCACGGCAACTGCCGGTGGCCCATTGAATTGCTGCTGAAAATGCTCAACCCAGCGATTCAGGGGTTATTCTTTTTTGGTTAGGCGAGGCGTTTTTAGCACTGGTTGTTTCGATTGCGCTCTTTCTGTTACGGCCCGGCGTATCTACCAGTGTCCCTAACGTACGTATATCTATCGTTTTTCCTGCTGCGTATGCCAGTCGACCGATTTCCTCCCTCAATCGCTCTCATGCATCCAAGCTATTGTTTTCAATGAATAGCTCCCTTCCCAATCCCTCCACTTAACAGTCCACTGACAGTGCTGCATTTACGCGCGAATTTACTAGCTCCCGCCTCCAATCCGCAGCTACCTAACCCAACTCCCCAAATCATCGGTGAACGAAACTGTGGCAGCCACAACCACTGTACGACAAGTACGCGGTCCTTACAGCTGATAAACAGGAATGACCAACGATCGATTCATTGTGGATTATTGATGATTGAATGATGATGAAGACATTGGCGCAGTGATTTCGCATCCGTTTGCCGAAAGAAGTCAGAATACCATTGCACGAGCGGCTAAGGTCCCTGACACCATCCGAACTGCTGAAGTTGATTGCGATTATACAGCTGGTTGGATTAGCCGAAGCAGCCATGTCGTACTTCAGGTTGATGAGGCGTTGACATAAGATGATAAGGCTCTGCAACGTCATTTCAGCATCCTGTTCAATTCTTTGAAGTAGCTGGTTCTGATGTCTGAATCTTAGGACGATTGGAGAACGGATAAAAGTGAGGCATTTGAATTGTTTCTCCGTCATTGAATTGGGTTCAAAACGCTCGAATTCCCGAATAACACTAGCAAACGCGATAAAACCTTCATCTCTTTCTTAACCAGCTTGAGGCGTTGGTAACGGATATTGATCACCGAATATCTGGGACAATGTTCCGTTTCAGTTTCCTTCAAGATTGTTTGAGCGGTTGGAGGTGTAGGAACCTCAGAATGCTTTACACAGGTAAGCACTAGGTCCCCTCCCTCACCCACTCTTTTTCTCTTATTTTCACCATAGGTCTTTTAATCTAATTATATATATACATATGTATGTAAAATATAGACGAACCTTATGGTTGTACGGTAGTGCCAACACTGATGTTGCTGTCTTTGATGATGATGATGGTGATGATGATGATGATGATGACGGTGATGATGATCAAAGCCGAGATCTCGGGTCAGCTTGCAGCGAATGAAATTCTTTACGTTTGTGCTCCGGTGTGCCAAGTTCTAGCAACAATAATCTGACTTTTCATCCGCCACCAAACCGGGAAACATCAGTCTTGAATAGGTCTTCGTAACGCTTGAGCCTTTTAGGACTTCCTTCAAAACAAAAATTCCGTTCAACTAACGATTTGTCTTTCTACATTTCAGTCTTTCACTGACATCCTATTGGACTGTTAGCTCCTTTTGTATTCTGGTTCAGTTGAATCCCATACCACGGAACGATCCACTTGTTTATAGTATAACTTCCTCGAAGTTGTTTGTCTTCTCCATTTCCGGTGATCTAACGTGTCTGACTGACATAACATCAAAGAGGACATAACAGAACCAGGAATAAAAGGGCGACGAGAAAGTGAGCCGAATTCGAACTTTTTGACTGAGGTTGCGGCCACATCAGCTGAAGAAACAGGAAACTCACTAACACTGTTTGCTAGTGTCTGGGTATGCTGTCTATGAGGCAGTGATTCAACGAGCTTCACTTCAAACCGCTTTTGTTGCTGCTGCAATAATCCTCGGGGCCGATTAAATTCAAGTATCGTTGGTTGCCGTTCACCAATTGTAGCAATAGTATTTTCTCAGCTTGGTTCTCGGTCTGAAGCTTCCAAGCTAACGTTCCCGTCAAACACCACCAAAGGTGCATAGCATGTATTAACGCCCATAACCAGGTCAAAAGCAAACGTACGGCGCGCCGTTTATGAAATTTATGCGATGACAACATTCAGAAGATTCCGATGCCTTATAGACGTGTCACTGACAACCGGCATTCGATAGATACCAGAACATGATAGGATATTAGGTTCAGACTTTCGACAGCTCGCGTTGATGCTGGACAGGCAGGCGGTCCGACGTTTTGGCCAATCGTGTGCGGTATAGGCTTCTTGGCCGAGGCAGCACCTAATCGCAAGCGGTAAAGCGGTATCCGTTAACCTCCGTCTAACCACCGGAAACCCCTCGACCACCAGAGGCAGTGATGCTTGGGAGAAGGCAAGCCTAGTGTGGACGCAGCGTCCGTAGCAGACGATGAAGATGCTGTCTAGGTTTGGCAATCTCGCAGTATCCCAGCCCTCGTGTGGCATGGTAGCTAGGCACCGAAAGGGTGCTACAGCTGAACGATACGATAAAGGTGCGGCAGTGAAGCCCACACTTAAGTCACAAATCCTGAGCTGGATCGGGTCAGATGTGCGGAGAAAAACGGCGGAGCCTACTGACAAATCGACCACAACCGTTGACCTCAACATCAGGTGGTGCTGTGAGAACCCTACAGCCACTGAGAATACGAAACTGCCACTCTCCAGCTCCAATGCATCAAAACTGGCCTCTCAAACTGTGAACACAGTCGCTACCCATGATCCCAACAGCCACAGCCACAAACCCGACAACAGCAAACCGGAAAATCCTTCGCACAGCCAGTTGGCAAAACTGATCGCGGGCGGCTCGGGAGTCCACACAAACACGGAAGGAAAGTGACTGCAGTCAAACAAACCAAATAAACTTCACCAAATCAGAAAGTTGTTGGCTAGCTTTAAGGTGCAGTCCTCTGCGGAAACAATCCTTATGGGAGCGCCAACAAAGGGAATACTTCTTGGTGCTGTCGCCCAACGCACAGGGCCTCACAGAGACACCTTATCGATCAAATAGCGCCAAAATGCCCAAGAAATTAACGCATGTTTGCATCAAATCCTTGAACACCAGTGTCAGGATTTTCGTGTGCTCATTATTATACTTATCATATATACTCGTATTGAACCTTTGTGTGTCGCAAAGACTGTCACGAAACATATGTGCTTACATGGGAAGCAATAGCCAAGTTGGAGAGTTCCATAACTTCTTCTGCCATCCAGGAATTGCTCGTACGTTTTATTTTGTGCGTTGCAAGAATCTCCCCTACTCTGCCGATGGTATCAAGCGCGTTATTTTCTCCTGCAAAGTGTGTGCCGAACTGAAGCCAAGACTCTGGAAATGCTCTGGTAGGCTCATTAAAACGACACAACCTTTTGAACGCCTGAGTCTGGATCTTAAACATCCTTTGCCATCTAATACACGCAACCGCTACTTACTCATAATAACAGACGAGTTCTCTAGATTCCCATTTGCATTTGCATATAACCTCGGCAACTGTGATTGACTGTCTTACACAAATCTGTTTGTTCGGAATGCCAGCCT